AGGGTGATGGAGGGGGCATGGGAGTTTGCCCAACCAATCCACATGTGCTTTGTGGATTTGGAGAAGGCTTATGACCGTGTCCCCAGGGGCACCCTGTGGGGGACGCTCCAGGAGTATGGGGTGGGTGGCTTTCTGTTAAGGGCCATTCAGTCCCTTTACCAGAGGAGCGTGAGTTTGGTCCGCATAGCCGGTAGTAAGTCGGACCTGTTCCCAGTGAGGGTTGGACTCCGCCAGGGCTGCCCTTTGTCACCGGTTCTGTTCATCACTTTTATGGACAGAATTTCTAGACGCAGCCGTGGTGTGGAGTGTGTCGAGTTTGGGGGCAGGAGAATCTCGTCTCTGCTTTTTGCGGATGATGTGGTTCTCCTAGCTTCATCCAGCTCTGACCTTCAGCTCTTGCTGGGTAGGTTCGCGGCCGAATGTGAAGCGGCTGGGATGAGGATCAGCACCTCCAAATCTGAGACCATGGTTCTCGACCGGAAAAGGGTGGCTTGCCACCTCCGGGTCGGGGGAGAGGTCCTACCTCAAGTGGAGGAGTTTAAGTATCTCGGGGTCTTGTTCACGAGTGAGGGTAGGAGGGATCGGGAGATCGACAGGCGGATTGGTTCGGCGTCTGCAGTGATGCGGACGCTGAGCCGATCTGTCGTGGGGAAGAGGGAGCTGAGCCAGAAAGCCAGGCTCTCGATTTACCGGTCGATCTACGTCCCAATCCTCACCTATGGTCATGAGCTTTGGGTAATGACCGAAAGAACGAGATCGCGGATACAAGCGGCCGAAATGAGTTTCCTCCGTAGGGTGGCCGGGCTCAGCCTTAGAGATAGGGTGAGGAGCTCGGACATTCGGGAGGGACTCGGAGTAGAACCGCTGCTCCTCCGGATCGAAAGGAGCCAGTTGAGGTGGTTTGGGCATCTGGTCAGGATGCCTCCTGGACGCCTCCCCGGGGAGGTGTTTCGGGCATGTCCTGCCGGCAGAAGGCCCCCGGGTCGACCCAGGACACGTTGGAGAGGTTACATCTCCAATCTGGTCCGGGAACGCCTTGGGGTCCTGCCGGAGGAGCTGGTGGACAAGGCCGGGGAGAGGACGGCCTGGAGCTCCCTAATTGGGATGCTGCCCCCGCGACCCGGACCCGGATAAGCGGAGGAAGACGAGACGACGAGAGATGATGATGTTGATGATGATGTTGAGTATAGTGAGCATGATGATGGTGATTATAGTGAGGATGAATGTGATTATTGTGAGGATGATGGTGATTATAGTGAGGATGGTGATTATAGTGAGTATGATGATGTTGATGATGATGTTGAGTATAGTGAGCATGATGATGGTGATTATAGTGAGTATGATGATGTTGATGATGATGTTGAGTATAGTGAGCATGATGATGGTGATTATAGTGAGGATGAATGTGATTATTGTGAGGATGATGGTGATTATAGTGAGGATGGTGATTATATTGAGTATGATGATGTTGATGATGATGGTGAGTATAGTGAGCATGATGATGGTGATTATAGTGAATATGATGATGTTGATGATGATGGTGAGTATAGTGAGCATGATGATGGTGATTATAGTGAGTATGATGATGTTGATGATGATGTTGAGTATAGTGAGCATGATGATGGTGATTATAGTGAGGATGAATGTGATTATAGTGAGGGTGATGATGGTGAATATAGTGAGGGTGATGATAGTGAGGATGATGGTGATTACAGTGAGGGTGATGATGGTGAATATAGTGAGGGTGATGATGGTGATTATATTGAAGATGATGGTGATGATAGTGAGGATGATGGTGAGAATAGTGTGGATAATGATTGTGATTATAGTGAGGATGATGATGGTGATGATAGTGAGGATGATGGTGATTACAGTGAGGGTGATGGTGAATATAGTGAGGGTGATGATGGCGATTATAGTGAAGAAGATGATGATGATGATGATGATGGTGATTATAGTGAGAATGATGATACTAATGGTGATTAAAGTGAGGATGATGGTGGTTGTAGAGAGGATGATTATGTTGATGAAGATGGTGATTTTAGTTAGGAGGATGATGATGGTGAGGATGATGATGGTGATTATATTGAGGAATTATGATGGGGATAATAGTGAGGGTATTGATGGTGATTATAGTGAGGGTGATGATGATGATGGTGAATATAGTGAGAATGATGGTGATTATAGTGAGGATGAATGTGATTATTGTGAGGATGATGGTGATTATAGTGAGGATGGCAGGGGTGGACCGTTAAAGCGCCCGAGCGCCAATGGCGCTAAATTTTCTCGTCGGGCGGTAAATACTTGACGACTTACCGCCCGGGTGGCGCCCAAGCTTTGTCATTTACACATCGGCTTTCACCTACATCATGGCCCCGCCCTGTAGGAAGCTGCCGCTTTCGTTTCGCTCGCGTGATCCTGCACGCCTCTAGCCACGTACTGCACTTGTACGATTCGTGCACGTACTGCACATTCTAGTTATAGTCACGTGAACTATAAGTTCACTATTAAAGATGAAGTGGAACCACGCTAGAAACACACAAGCACGAAGGAAGATGGCGCCACCACAGGGATGGGATTTCTTGATGAAATCTCTGGCAAAACACTTTAAAACTGGTGAGGAGAAGCGAGACAGTTCGACACGGTATGAAGCAGAGAAGCGTGTGCGTGGGTGGAATGATTCTTGGCGGTTTAAAGAAGACGGGAGGCGCAGAGAATGGCCGTGTTCGAGTTGAGCAGCGCATCGCCTGGAAAACAGACGGAAGCAGCAGGGGGAGTGGCTGAAAGCCGGCTTTTCGCCGGGGACACACCGGCCACGGAAGCGCCGAGAAGCGAATCGCTCACGAAATCCGGCCGCTGCTCGCCGCTCCTCAGTTCAGATCAGACGCGCCCCATTCGAGGCGCGCCTCGGCTCAGCTGTAGTTTTTCTTTTAACTACCTGGTGTCCTCCATTTCCTCAGCTCTTTTCCTCTCTCTGTCTGTCTGTCTGTCTGTCTGTCTGTCTGTGTCTGTCTGTCTGTCTGTCTGTCTGTCTGTCTGTCTGTCTGTCTGTGTGTGTGTGTGTGTGTGTGTGTGTGTGTGTGTGTGTGTGTGTGTGTGTGTGTGTGTGTGTGTGTGTGTGTGTGTGTGTGTGTGTGTGTGTGTGTGTGTGTGTGTGTGAGTGAGTGAGTGAGTGAGTGAGTGGAGTGAGTGGAGAGAGTGAGAGGAGAGAGAGAGAGAGAGACTTGGTGTGAACCAGTTGTTTCTGCCAGTTGAATGTCTTGGATTTCCCTGCATGTGTAGCTCGGGGGTGACGATGGATGAAGATGTTGCGTTAGCATTCACACTTGTTCAATTTTCAATTTTAATTCTGGTGCCCGTTAGCAGCTGAAACACATCCTCACGTGCTTGTGGATATCATATATTGTATATGGAGACCTGACTGTAATAATAAGTAAAGATTAGCAGCTGTTTAGTGTGCTCATAGGAAACGTGACAAAAGAAAACAAAACACATTTCTCTTTATGGCCTATATAGTTGTCATCATCAACATAACATGATTTACAGAATACATGTGAACAACTAACATTTCATGTTCTACCACCGGATGTTTGGATCAAAATATGAACCAATCAGATCTTAGATCAGGTGAGAGCCAGGCGTTTCCCGTCATCCTCTAGGTTTTGCAGCCGAGGGTGAGCAAGTGCAGCGCCTTGCTCCAAAATCTGCGGCCGCCTTGATCTCACGAGGTTATCGTTGCCTACGTATGCATGACGTCAGAGCAAGTCGGCGTCAATTCGGACACAAATCTAACCGGCATGCACTGCTCGCCGATCACCGCTGGTCTAGTCTGCGCAGAACTGGCTCATCTCGAGCACAGTCAATGGCTCGAGTACAGCAAAGCGGAGTTGGTGATGTACTGCGTTGTATACCGGAAGTATGTGACGACAAAATCGAGTTTTGTTGAGGGAACAAACAAATTCAAACTTGAATACGTTATTATGTTTGTGAATGTGTACAAAATAAAGGTTTATTACATTTAAAACGGTTCAGTTGTTATTTTGACTCGTTTTGGCAGCTGACCAGCGGGGCCGGTAGATTCTTGGCGGGACCGGTAAATATTCAGAGTTACCGGCCCGGCTGGCCGGTTGGTTTTGAAGTTAATGTCCACCCCTGATGATGGTGATTATAGTGAGTATGATGATGTTGATGATGATGGTGAGTATAGTGAGCATGATGATGGTGATGATGGTGATTATAATGGGGGTGATGATGATGGTGATTATAGTGAGAATGAGGATGGTGATTATAGTGAGAAGGATTATGTTGATGATGGTGTTTTTTATATCCGCATCGGCCGATACACCTCCTTAGTGTAAAGTTTAATAAACATGTTTTTTAGTGCTGCCGTTTATTTTACTTCTGCCATCTTCCCCTCATTTCCTCACACAAACCCGCCTCTTGCAGCACCTCGCTATAGAACATGACACAAGAAACTCCCTGAATATTTACATTTACAGTGAGTTAACACTTAGTAAAGCCTATTTAAAATGAGGCACATCCCCGGGCAGCCTGGTGCTCTTTCAGAACTTTATTAAAATTAATATTTACTTTCCTGAATAACATCTTCATTATAAATCATTTTCAACAAAAATGTATCTTTACTTACCAGTTTGGAATATGAAGTACTTGGTCAGTTTATTGATTTGTTTGATTAACTTTATTCAGATGTCTGATTTTAACACTGAGCAGTTCTCAAAATTAAGATTTAGCAGTTGGATAAATTCTGTGTTTAAAACCTGATTCAGCTTGAGAGAGTTTGTGCACTAACTGATGGTATTAGTGCCAATTTAGTAATCAAATAAAGTGGAAAACGCCTAGTTTTCCATGAAAATTGGCCCCAAAAAAACAACATCACATCAGCTGATCATGTTTCCTCCATGTCGGCATTGGTATCAGCAATAGAAAAGCCAATATTAGTTGACCTCTAATGGTGGTGATGAATGGTTCATTTTTCCCAGACTCTGAAGGTCATCACTGGAGCCAGCAAACATGACCTGCGCAGCACCTGCAGCAGCCTCCCACTTTCAGAGTCTGGTACACAGATGATGTTGGAGATTTTTGCCAGCATCGGCTCAGCCACGCCCAAAGGCTCCAAATGCCTGCTGGCCGCCATTCCTGCTGCCATTGACCTCATGCTGAAGACCAAAGGGTTAGCCATAATTGCATTTTCAGCTTCTTTTATCTGACTGCAGCCTGCTGACCATTGATCCTCTGTGCAGCTGCATTTTGTCGGTGCGTAACGGGTTGCTTGTAATCATCATGCTCATCGCTAACCACAAGAGCCTGGCGGAACAGCTGGTGGCGTGCGGCGTCACCCCTGTCCTCAAAAAATGTCTTGCGCTGTCCAGAGCCGAGACCATGTTTGCCATCATAGCCCTCAACCACATCTCCATGGTGCACAAGCTGGAATGTGAAGGTAAGTGTCAGAACAAACCTCTGAGCAGATTGTTCTCCTCAATGAAACTTTTAACCAACATCAATCAGACAAAATACCCACAAATTCACAGAGGCTTCATTTTCAGGCTGTACGGTATACCAGTTTATCTCTGTTAGATGAATTTTTTATATGCCATGTAAATGCCGTTTAAAATTGTACCAATGAATAGCATAGACAATGTCTGGAACGTTCTCAGTGGGAAAGTTTTTCAGCGGGGCCAGATTTCACTGCTATACACCAACACGTTCAGCTTGCTAACCACAAAACTAAAACGATCTTTTATAAAGTGCTTCTCAAGATAAAAGTCACGATTCGCTTCCCAAAAACAAAAAAACAAAGTAGCATAGCATAGTTTATTTATATAGCACGTTTAAAATGCAGCATGGGAGCTGCCCAAAGTGCTGCACAGGCTAAAACAAAACACAACCATTACAAGGAGCTAAAACAAAGCATAAAAATCACAATCAAAAGCAGATAAAACATGATGAATACTAAGAACACATTAAAACAATGATACAATAAAACACTAAAACGAGTCACTGTCTAAAAGCCAAAGTGTAAAAGTGGGTCTTTAAACGAGATTTAAAAACCGCCAGAGACGGAGCCTGCCGAACTCCAATGGGCAATGAGTTCCATAGCTTTGGGGCAGCATGCACAAATGCTCGATCCCCCCGCGATTTGAGTACAAAAAACATTTAGAATAAATAACGATCAAAAATATGTTCAAAATGAGAACTAAATTATGTCAATTGTGATTAAAAAGATTTTAATGTAAGGAAAGGGAGAGAGAAAATAAATAGGAAAGAGGGAAATCAGTGGATCCCAGGAAAGGCGGAATAGGTAGAAAGGCTCAGGGGGAGAGAGGTCCACAGTCTGGGGGCCACAGCATCCCATGATCTGTCACCTTTGGTCTTTAGACTGGTGCGCTGCACAACCAATAGGCTTTGGTCACTGGACCTCAGGGACCTGCTGTGAGGATGATCAAAGGCTGAGAAGTTCACCAATGTATGATGGTGCTTGTCCATGTAGCGGAGGTATCTGGGCCAAAAATGGGGGCGGGGTGTTCCACAAAAATAAACAATAAAGAATAAGAGTCTGCTTCTAGACCTGCAGAAAGAGAAAAAAATGGGATACAAGATCAAGCTATCACTGCGTCAACTTGATGAAGAAATATATAATCAACATTGTGTGTGTCTGCGTGTGTGTGTGTGCGTGCCTGTGTGTGTGTGTGTGTGTGCCTGCGTGCGTGCGTGCGTTCGTGTGTGTGTGTCTGTCTGTGTGCGTGTGTAAAGAGTGTGAGGACTGTCTGGAACAGCAGGACTTTAAGGACACAGAGCTACAGATGGTGTTGGTGAGCCTGAGGGAGTTGTCGGTAACTAAGGAGGTGATCCTGACTCTGGAGCAGCTGCTGAATGACCCCATGTCACAGCTGGAGGAGGAGCGCAGCCAGGTAAATGAGAAACAGTCGTTTAGGAATGTTCTGATAACATTTACTCACTCCCGATCCAAGATATTGATTTTGATTATCTGCCGATACATAGTCCCGATCTGACACTTCAGCAGAACATATCCAACCAGTCCTTTAGGTTTTTTATCATAATTATTATTTAAGTGGGTTTTTTTTTTGTTTGTCATTTCACCCTTTAAGATAGTACATTAAAAAGAAATGTGTTAATATTACCAATCTATTTAAAAGTAATGTCTTGGCTCTTATTTCTGATCAATTACTTTGTGGGGCTGTTGTGAGCAAAAGGGCAGGCACCAGCTCGTGACTGCTGGCGGCAGGGTCACTCCTTTCTCCAGGACACATGTAGTGCTGCATCTGTGAAGTTGGGGTTAGTTTGCATAGACACTACTGCTGTTTGTAAACAATTTGTTTTTTTAACGTATCTTTCAGTGTCGACTGGCTCGAAGTTTTTATCCAAGTCGCTTATTATGTTTATTATTATTATGTTTATTTATTTGGCAGACGCTTTTATCCAAAGCGACTTACAACATTATAACCTATAGGGCATGTTGTGATCTGTGGGGGAAACCGGAGTACCCGGAGGAAACCCACGCATGCATGGGGAGAACACGCAACTCCACGCAGAAAGGCCGCAGCCGAGTTTCGAACCTGCGACCTTCGTGCTGCGAGGCAACAGTGCTAACAACTGCGCCACCATGTTCTTTAGGTGGCGTGTCAGATTTGCTGTGTTAATGCAGCTTTACCTTTTCCTCGTTACATGCCCAATAAGTACACATTACAAGTCTGTCTGGTTTAAAATACAACCAACCTGCAGACATTTCCTCTGTCCTGAGGTGGCATGTTGGCTCTGTGTTCGCCTGCTAGCTAACAGCTAAGTGATAAGTGCGTGAATTCCCTGACTTCCTTAAATTGTGTGACCTTGACTACCTTATTGTGTGAGGTGTTGTCATCTGTGGAACCATGAATTTTGGTGTAGAGGAACTTGTTTAAGTGAACACCAAGCCATTAGAAAACTTCTAACTTGGGATGAATTTAAAAAGTCACGATTTTTATCTTATAAGGTTATAGCCAATCTTTTGCACCTGATTCCAGATGCTTAGAAGATCCCATGATCAGATCTGAGCATCCCTAGTATTTATTCAGCACCTTCTAGACTCCAAGAACCCCCAAGGCGCTTTAACACTCCGGCCATTCACTCCTAAGGGTGGGCCATAAATGGAGCACACTGGATGTAACTGGCGCCCCTGCAGTTAAAGGACGGGGACTAAACGCCACTGCCGTCGTCACCCCTGTGTCAGACGCCGATCACCTGTTGAGGTTTAGAAGCGTTGGGACCTTTCGAGTGCCTCGTTGACGTTCTGCAGTTGCATCCTGCTTCCTGTCGCTTTGTGCAGGTGACGCACAGTCGAGACACTTACCAGGACCTGGTCCGGTTGATGGAGCAGCACCGAGCCGACCGGGCAGTCCTTCTCTCCATCCTCAGGTACTGTACGCCTTATATCACCTTTCTTGTTGCCATGGCAATAGAGATGAAGATGTTCTGACTGGCCATTTTTCCTGAAGGATTTTGAGTAGATTCCTGGACAACTACAAGGAGGATGTTCTGCCATGGCATGAGAGTATATGGCCCTGTCTGTCCACCATGATGGCCTCCATCAACGACAGAGAGGTCAGCTTTCCTCGAGGTGGAGGTCAGGGTGCTCTCATGAAACCAATGATAACCTGCTGTGATGACCCCCAGGTTGTGCAGCTGTTCATTCCGCTTCCTGTACCGTCTGGCCTCTCTAAACAAGGACTATGCTGTGGTCATGTGCCGACTTGGTGCCAAAGAGGTTCTGGTGAAGGCTCTGGATAAGCACAGCACCAACCTACTGCTGGTCACGG